TTATCTCACTCTATACACATTTATACAGAATCCAACCCACCTACTAGACCATTGCATTCTATATCCCAACCACCATAATAGACAACAAAAAAAGAGCATCCTTTCCCTTGTCCAGGCAACCATGGAATACATGAATATATAATAAAATAAAACGATAAATGAAAAAAAGAAAAAAATATATATATAAAATACAAAACCCTCAATAACCTATGTTTTTCCTATTAATCCAAAGAATAATAAATAACATATTACAAGAGCATACCGCGAGACTATTCTTTTTTTTTATAACGACGGAGTGTGATAGTTAAGGGGGTGACTGGTGATTGGAAATGGGTGAAATGAGATTGATATTGTTAATTGGTGATTGTTAATTGGTGATTAATTGGTGATTGACAGCTGATTAGACAAATACGATGGTTGGAAAGTTCACACACGTACCTGCAGTGCACGATGATGGGGCACGACCTCCCTCTGTAAGATTTGTTGACCTTCCTGCGGAGGGAGAGAAATGGAACCAGGTCAGCTCAGGTCACTTGGTTAATGCATATTCTTAGCATCTAATTGGAATAATCTGTACCAAAATTGTGGATAGTTTGTATGTAAATACTTGTCTTATCGTTATCACATTATTTTCATTATGATAATTTTCATGATTTTCCCTCTTATGTTGCATCATTATGATTATCATTATCACAGTCATTATTAATGTTTTGTTGTTGTTATTATCATTGTCTTCATTATTCTTGTTACTATTATCATAATCATTATCAGTATTATTATTAACATTATCAATATCATTATCATCCCTATTGTCTTCATTATCATTATTGTCATCAATTATTATTACTATTAGAGTTATCATTATTATCATTACTATTATTGCTATCATCATCTCCATTATTGCTATTTTTATTAGTCATAACTATCATTATTATTATCATTATTAATACTACGTTATCATTATTATTATCATTATTGCTGTTGTTGTTATTGTATTATTATTTACATTATAATCATCATTAATATCATCATTATTATTATTACTATCATTATCATCATTACTATCACTACCTTTATTCTCATTACTCTTACTATCATTGATATCATTATTACTGTTATTATTATTATTGTTAATACTATTATCATTATCATTGTTATTACTATTAATGTTATCCTTATTATCATTATCATTATTGTTATCATTATTATCATTATCATCATTGTTATTATTACTGCTATTATCATTATCACCATTATTATTAGCACTATCATTATCATCATTATCATTAGTAGTAGTAGTGCTGGTAGAGTAGCAGTAAAAGTAGCTATAGTATCCTTAATATCATCGTTATTATCATTATTATCATGTACATATATATATAAATATAAATATAGTCTGATAAATAATTGATGATTTTAACTAATGCTGTTTTTCTTTATATAATTCGAAATAGCAGTAATATAGTGGTTATTTTTATTGGCATTAGCATCATCAACTAAAAATGATATTATCATTATTAACAACACCATCATTGCCAACCGTAAGATTATTATCCAAGCCTATTGTAATCTAAACATCACTATAATTATTATTTTACGTCCCTCGTATACTCAAGCATTGACTCATTCACTCACGACTCACCAAGACTCAGCCATGAAGTCTGTTTTCTCGGCCGGAAACTTGCTCGGGGTTTAGGGTCCAGCCTCAACCATCACTTTTGTGACTATGCAATTTTTATCAAGTACATAATTGCAAAAATCACAAAAATGATCATCGCTCGCCAGAAGTTGTTCGATGTCGTCGGTCCGCCATGTTGGAAGTTGGCGGTGGGGGTGGGGGGTTGTGGTGAGGGTGATAGGGGGGGGGATGGATGAAGTGAGGCGGGGATATCTTCGGGTTGCGGCATCTTCGTGGATCTTCTTTTTCATTCTCTCTCTCTCTTTCTCTCTCTCTCTCTCTCTCTCTCTCGTTCTCTTTCTCTTGCTCACACTCTCCCTTTCCCTCTCCTTCTCCCACTCCCTCCCTCTCTCTTTCCCTCTCGCCCTCCCCTACCCACCCCTTCCTCCCGACCTCGCCCCTTACCTTCTGAACTCGAGCAGTGCCTTGGTGGACGCCGGAGTGCCAGAGTCGGGCCACGAGAGGAAGTGGAACTGCGTGACGGTGCGCGTCTCGCCGGTCCGCACGTTCTTCAGGTAGAAGGAACGGACCAGGTAGTCGTCGCACCAGATGTGTTCCGAGACCAGATGGACCTGTTTGGGGAGAAGGGGTTTTGCCTTGTTATCTTTTTCAATTATTTTTTTATTTACTTATTTATCTATTATTATTATTTTGTTTTATTTTATTTTATTTTATTATTATTATTTTTTTTATATATTTTTTTTGGAGGGGGGGTCGCTGTGAAAAGGGGGTCGGTATATCTATCAGTTCTCAATGCAAATTTGATTTTTTATTTTATTTTATTTATTTATTTTTTTTAGCTATCTAATAAAAAAGAAAGGGAAACTAATATACTGCGGGTCCACCAGTACTCAAGTAGACCGAGCTTATAGTCAACACCAAAGGGAAAAAAAATATCACCATCTTCTTCTTTCCCCGCTCCCCTCCCCCCTCCCCCCTCCCCACATTCCGTTCCGTACTAAACATCACTCCCAATCATCCCCTTATTCCCACAACCCCTACATACCACCCAACATACAGCACGGCACACCCCACCTCATAAATGTGATACAGGTCGCTCCCTTCCTCAGGCCAATAGCGATGGCAGAAGGCGTGTCCGTTCTCCGTGAGCCTCGTCAGCATAACGATCACCACGCTGCCCTGTTCCCACACCAGCTGCCAGAAGTCGGCTGCCGTGGCGTCGAGGGGCCCTTGGGTGGCGATGTAGGCGGGGTTGCGGGGGTCGTGGTCCGTCTGGAGGGGGAGGGGGGAGGGGAGGAAGGGGGCGTGGTTAGTGGGCGGCAAGGTGGGAGGTCCTTTCAAGACATGCTGTAATTGTTGTTGTTATTATGGTGATTGCTCGGTATGATTATCATAGTCATTATCATTATTGTTGTTATTAATATCAACATTAACAATATTATCATAGCCTTTATTCAAATATGTAAACGAGAAGCACTGACGTTAGTATAACCTACAGGATGATCATAAGTCATATTGTTTAACAAAAATTTCATATCCTCATCATATTAGATCATGACGCATTCTAATTCAGTTAATTTCCATTTGTTTATAGATAAGTATCTTAAGACGATGAAGGAGAAAAGAAAAAAATAATGAAAACAAATAAAATAGAAAAAAATGGAGAAGAGAGAAAAAGAAATTAGCACTACGAGATGGAGGGAAAACAGAAGAAAACGATAATAAATATGGAATAAAAGAAAGCGTTAAGTATAAGCAAGAACACGAATAACACGAAAGCAGAAAGCGGGCGCGCGCAAACTCACAATGGAGGAGGCGTTGATGTAGTCTGAGCCGTTGACGTTTGCGTGCGCGTTCAGAACAACTCGATTGTGGTCGTAAGGAACAGCGTCTGGATACCTGTTCTTCTTGTTGTTCTCAGGCTGAAAAACAAAGGCACAGGGCTTTAGGGTTTACGTTGGCTTTATGGGCACGTGGGCATATATGTTGAGGATACGGCACACTAGACACCCCGCTTTACCTCTCTCTCTCTCTTTCTCTTTTAGTCACACACACACACACACACACACACACACACACACACACACACACACACACACACACACACACACACACACACACACACACACACACACACACGTATGTATGCAAATACGCGCAAAGGTCGTATATATTACCGATGAAGAACCGTTTCCAAAGTCGCAAAGCAAAATCAGCCGATCTGACAATGAGGAAAAACGGCCATCCTCTTTCGGCGCCGTAATTCCTAATGGGGTTGAGGGATAATGGCATTTGGAGGCACTGCCGTAAAAATAAAGGCTCCGGCAAAACTAGGAAAACGACACCCATAACTTTCAAGGCAAGTTACTAATAGCTTAGTGAAGTTGCCTCTTTCATCTTGTTGTTAGGTAACTTGGAGCTTATGATGCGTGGGTTATTGCGTTATCTCTCTCCCTCTCTCTCTCTCTCTCTTTTTTTCTCTCTCTCTCTCAGTTCCTCTCTCTCTCTCAGTTTCTCTCTCTCTCTCTCTCTCTCTCTCTCTCTCTCTCTCTCTCTCTCTCTCACTCTCTCTCTTCCACACACACACACACACACACACATACACACACACACACACACACACACACACACACACACACACACACACACACACACACACACACACTATACCTTGAGGGCCAGCGTGGTCGCACAGGGCTCGGCTTCGTAGGCACAGAGGGCAATCCACTCCTGCTCGAGGCGGTCCTTGTTCTTCAGGTGGTCCTCCATGTACGACTGTGGAGGATGACATATGTGAGGGCCAAGGGTGACAGCGAGCGAGAATGAAAACAACTTATATTAGAAGCTAGATTGTGGTTATTTGTGTGTGTGTGTGTGTGTGTGTGTGTGTGTGTGTGTGTGTGTGTGTGTGTGTGTGTGTGTGTGTGTGTGTGTGTTGTGTGTGTGTGTGTGTGTGTGTGTGTGTGTGTGTGTGTGTGTGTGTGTGTGTGTGTGTTTCTTTGTAGGCCTACACATTCCTATACATTTGTGAAAAACATTCCTACATTCTGTCTCCACGACATATGAACCAAAAGCACCTCTGATAATTCCTATAAAGTCAGTGAACCGGAAACTACAAATAACCTACGTCTAATAATCTCTCTCTCTCTCTCTCTCTCTCTCTCTCTCTCTCTCTCTCTCTCTCTCTCTCTCTCTCTCTCTCTCTCTCTCTCTCTCTCTTTCCCTTTCTTTTCTTAATAATAATAATAATAATAATAATAATAATAATAACACAAAAACAGCAAAGACAACAATGATAATAATGATAATGATAACGGTAACAATAATAATAATAATAATAATAATAATAATAATAATAATGATGATAAATATAAAAACAATAATAGCAATAATGCTAAGAACAATAATAAAAATAACAATATTGAAAATAATACACCAATAATACAATATCAATAATAACATATAATAAAAAAAATAACGATCGCAATAGTAGCATAGTAGTAGTAGAAAGAGTACTGCTACTGCTACTACTACTGCTACTACTACTACAACTACAACTGGCAGTAATAATAACAATTAAATAATATTGATAATATTAATAACAATAAATGAAACAATAACAAAGAGCTGAATGCAAGTTGACATGACTCACCAGCACCATGTGACCCGTTGAGATGTCCATGTTGGATGCAACGGGTTCCTCACTCCTGAAAAATACTTGACACTATAGAACACCAAACACATAAGTCTAAAGTTACGTTTTCTACCGGATACTTCCATATTATATCAAATAGAGAAGTCTTGTTTGCTAATGCGTATAAATATATAGGTATTGGATATAACTATCTCTTTCTGATGGTCGATTCATTATATATTTATTCTCCGGGTTGAGTAACATCATTATCCAAACCATGACATAATTAACAAACCATACAATACAAAACTACGTCACTAAAACCCTATTTTCAGTAATCACCATTGTATCACGCCTCCGTCATCTCTCAACAGGTGTTTTCAAGTTCGAGTGAGAGGTAATGCCCTTAGAGCCAGGTGTGCAGGAAGAGATATAAACACATACTGACTCGTAGGTAAACACTGCCACGTGACTAAGAACAGCTGATTTTTGTGTTCGAATGTGCGAATTTAGTCTGCCTATCTATTTCTCTATATGTATGATATCGCTTTGTAATGCTGTGATCATGATTTTATTTATATGTTGATGAAGGTAAGTTGTTTGAATTATGATATTTATTTAGAATAAGGAACCGTGATATATTATGTGTTTCGATGGTTTCGGATACGGATGTTCTGACGATAGGGGACCAGCAGATCTGTACAGCTGCCAAGTTTGGTAATTTCGCTGATTATTATGACATTATTTGCCAGTATCATCTGTTAAACGGGTTCTACAAATTATTATATACTTCTTGGTAAATTTGTCTCTTGCATCTCATCACTTCCAAATCTAAATAAGAGTGCTAACGAAGACAAATTCAATAACATGGCGAAATCGTGTTCAAATCATTAAAACAGCAGAGTTACACATCAGTGTTTTATCGTTAACTTTTACTGTACACCATTTACCTTCCTGGTTATATTGCTAATATTATCTGCATTAGATGATACTGAAATGTCTGATAAGTTGATACTGATCCCTCGGTGTTATCAATGGTTTTACTTCGATAACCTTTGCTTTGCTTTAGATTCACGATGTCTAAAATGCCAATGCTGCCAGCGTTTGTTGAATTCTAGATAGCGCAGTAATAAGACAGAAGTTAAATATTGTGGGGAAGCACCGTAGATTTCCCTACCCAATTTTCGAACAACCGGTATAACCTCCTATCTAGTTCGTATTGCATTTCAGGGTTCTGCTTATAATTCAGGCTTATGCGCTCCATTCATGTCTTATTTTATACGCACCATTAACATCTAAAGTATTCAGATCTAAGTGTATTAGAAGTTCTGTTTTGAGAGGCTTATCAAGACTTGTTATCCGTTCTTTCGCAAAATCGTTCGTCTGAAGAGTTCAATTTTACCTTCAGTCCTCTCTACAGAAAACGGAGACTAAGAACACCGAGACGGATAAAGGGAGGACTCTAGAAAAGTGTAGATAGAGATTATTAATTCTATTATCGCGGGTAAGCAAATCTCTTGTGGAACATCAATGCACTCACGTTTGCACGCTTTCAAACACGACATCCTTTACGGAGAAGAGGTCATCTATAACAAAGCCAAGACCGTTTGATGACTCTATTCATAGGTGATATAGATGTGAGCGGACAATAGCATCCACCTGAGCTCGCCTCTTCGCTGAAACAACAAAGCAAACTGGCAGACTAGACAGATAGCTAATCAGTCGGCCGTCCTGCCAAACAACCGCCTCGTGCTAAAGACTAAGGGACTAACAACCCATCAATGCGTTGGATTGTTTATGCATCTATTCCTCCTTTGTGCATAGACTGGAAAAGCAGAGGTCGTGAGGTCGTAGTTGGTGATGCTGACCATGAACTGGTGGACGACCGCGACGAAGGTGAGTTGTTGCCGTTGTCCGAATCCCTGGAGAGGCTGGAGACGCGTTGTCCCTGTGCGTGCGTTGGCGCTGGCTCCGTCTTCCCTCCTTCGCCGCCGGTTTTGCCTGCCATTCGTGCCCGACAGAGGTCCTGCGGAAAATATGGGTAGATGCTTGTTATTTTTCCTGTCACGGTCAGGCTTTTGTAGGTGTTGCTACTGTCGTTATTGGTACTGTTGCTGTTGTTGTTCAAGATACGTTACTTATAATAATAATGATAAAAGATGATAATAATGATAATGATAATAATAATGATGATGATAACAATAATAATAATGATAATGATAATAAT